TGATTCTGGGATGAGATGAAGAAAGTCGTTTGAGTAGACATTTTCCCTAACAATGGTCCCCGCATGCTTCCTTGTGGACCACTTGCCCCAATAGGATGTCTTGCTGTTTCCCATTCCTTTGAAAAAACTACATTTTGAGATCTCCCTTTAAAGGAAAATCATAAAGGGGGACATAGAATAGAGCCGCAATTCCCAGTGTTTGAAGTTTTTGAAAGAGGCCTGGTCCCATCCCCGGTCAAAAGCGCCAGCAATGTCCAGTGTACCCCCGGATTTTGGACCACCAAAGTGACGGGTTGCCATTTTAAGTGGAAAGGTTTAAAAACAGATCAGCCCCAGGTGACCTTTCCAAAAGCCTATTGACGATCACAAAGTAGGGTTTTGATTTTTTGGTTAGCCCAAAAAAAAAACCTTTTTTTCTTTTTTGTTTTTTTTGGGAAAGGGAATTAAATTTGTTTTTCCACGGGAAAACCTTTAAAAATTTTGATTGAAAGGGATTTGACATGGGTCTGAATTTCTGAATTTCTTTTTCTGCTCTTCTTTTTTTTTTGGCCGGGGACTCTTTGCCTCTTTCCCCGGGCTTTCCTTCTGGCCTTTCTTTTGTCTTGGGGTTCTTTTGTTTTGGTTTGGCCTCTTCCCCGCCTTTTTTCCTCTCTTCTGTTTTCTCTTTTCTCTTCTCTCTCTCTGTTTTCTCTCTTCTCTCTCTCCTTCTCCTCTTTTCTGTCTCTTTTTCTGTCTTTTCTCTCTGTCTCTCTCTTTTCTCTTTTGCCTTCTTTCTGTCTCTCTCTCTGTCTCTCTTCTTCTTCTCTCGGTCTCTCTTTTGTCTTTTGTCTTTTTCTCTGTCTCTCTTTTGGTCTCTCTTTTGTCTCTCTCTCTTTTTCTCTTTTCCTCTCTCTCTTTCTTCTCTTTTTTTCTTTTTTCTTTTCTTCTTTTTCTTTTTCCTCCCCCTCTTTTTGTCTCTCTTTCTGTCTCTCTTTTCTCTTTTCTCTCTCTCTTTTCTCTCTTCTCTTCTTCTCTCTCTGTCTTTTCTCTCTTTTTCTCTCTCTGTCTCTCCCCTTTGTCTCTCTTCTCTTTTTCTCTCTCTCTCTCTCTTTTCTCTCTCTGTCTCTCTTTTCTCTCTCTTTTTCCCCCTTTTCTCCCTTTTCTCTTTTTGTCTCTTTTCTCTCTCTTTCCTTTTTCTCTCTTCTCTCTTTCTCTTTCTCTTTTTTTCTCTCTTAAATTTTTTTGTTTTATCTTTTTTTATCCCTCTGACCCTACACAAGACTACAAAAAAATTTTTTAAAGGGTAATTAGTGAACTATTTACAGGGGGGGGGGAAAACCCCCGGTTTTCGTCATTAATTTTTTCCCAAAAGTTGAAAAAAAAAATTCAACGAAAAAATGGAGCAATATTTCCCATAAAAAATTAAAGTGAATTCAATTAATCCATTCCAGCCCCCCAAAAAAAAAAAACATTTTTTAGAGAAAAAATTTTATACAAAAAAAAATGAGAAAAAAATTTAAAAAAAAGGGCTAAAGAAATGGATAAATGAACATTTTAGTCACTTTTATCTTTAATGAAGACTTTTTTGTTGGCGTTTATTTTGGAAGAGTGAGGAGGGGGAAGGGAAGGAAACCCCCTCCCTAAGGACCCTTTAGGTATAAAATCCCTTTTCCGGGGTTACTTTCCCCTTTTTTGGGCTTTTTACAGGCAATGGACCCCTGTTTGCCAAAAAAAAAAACTGTTTTTTCCCAAAGCCAAAGGGCAAGGGATTGTCATTGAACATGCTGCCGACACAGCTTGCAACGCTTTGTTAGGGTGATATTTCTCCCCAAAAATTTGCCCAAATTTACTCCCCTTTGCACACGTTTTTAAACACTGAAAAAGGGGGCCCTTTTTCCCCCCCCCTTTTTCCTCCTCCCCTTAAGCAATTTCCTCAGTTGCAAACTGTTTTTGTTCCAAATTTAAGGTGTTGACCCTTTTTTTGTGGTCATCCAAACCCAAATCTTACACATCCTGGCCACCACATCCCAAACCCCGGGCTTCCCCAAAAACCCCCTGGTGGCTTATTTAAATAGTCGCACTCTAATAAACAAACACAAAAAAAATGGATTATTACAAAAGGTTTTGGATGAATGCGCAGGGTAATGCTCACTCAACAAGAAACAAAGCCAGACTGACTCAGAACGTGTGGGATACTTTGTGTGAGCACAGGCAGGCGAACACGTTTGGTAAGGCGGATCAACAAAAACCGAGGTGATGAACGAAAACTGGGACAAAATTTTGGCGGAAAAAGTTGTCGAAAGCTGAATTCAATGATAACCGAGGTTCCACTGTATGCATTTTATCGCTCTGGGACGCTTTAAATGTCATAGAATATTATGTGTGGGTGAGGTGGCTTGGTATGGTAGCCTGGCTGGCTACCATACATACCACACTTGATTTCTTACAATAAATACTACTTATCTCACCCTACATTAAGACTACAAATATTTTAAGGTAAGTAATGAGTGTTCTATATGTATTTTACTTTTTTATTGTTTTTAATGCCTAGTTCTATTGCTAACTTAATATATGTTAGTGTAAACTTATCTAGTATTTACAGGTCTCCCTCAACATTCACGAGGGTTAGGGGATCAAGAGCCTTGCGAATGTTGAAAACTCGCGAATGTTTGGTGCCCCAATATATTGTAGGGAAATATAATACAATACTGCTTCCTTAACTTGTTGAACCATGAACAATCATAAAATACATGAAAATGTCATAAAATATTGTACTAAATACATGTTATGGTTTAATAACATGTTTGTTATTAAATACCACTGCCTCTACCAGTGCCTCAACCACTGCGGCGCACTGCTCGTATTTTGGTAAAATTTCTTTACCAAAGGGCTGGCACTAGCAAGTTTGAGGGAGTGGTTTTTAATAACATATTAATAATAATAATACATGTTATTAATAATATGTAAGGGGCTTGGACTTCCAGCAAGCGTGCGTGAGCGTGTTAGATAGGAGTGAATGGAGACGAATGGTACTTGGGACCTGACGATCTGTTGGAGTGTGAGCAGGGTAATATTTAGTGAAGGGATTCAGGGAAACCGGTTATTTTCATATAGTCGGACTTGAGTCCTGGAAATGGGAAGTACAATGCCTGCACTTTAAAGGAGGGGTTTGGGATATTGGCAGTTTGGAGGGATATGTTGTGTATCTTTATGTGTGTATGCTTCTAGACTGTTGTATTCTGAGCACCTCTGCAAAAACAGTGATAATGTGCGAGTGTGGTGAAAGTGTTGAATGATGATGAAAGTATTTTCTTTTTGGGGATTTTCTTTTTTGGGTCACCTTGCCTCGGTGGGAGACGGTCGACTTGTTGAAAAAAAAAAAATTATTATTAACATACATCTTATTAAATACCACTGCTTGTATTTTTGTACAATTTCCTTCAATTCTATCATATTATTATTATTATTATTATTATTATTATTAGCAGTAGCAGAAATGTTCGATTCTTTGCCGTGTTTAAGAGGTGAGTGGTGCGTTGAGGTATATGTGGAGTCAAAAAACGTTATCTATGGAGGCAAAGAAGGGAATGTATGAAAGTATAGTAGTACCAACACTCTTATATGGATGTGAAGCTTGGGTGGTAAATGCAGCAGCGAGGAGGCGGTTGGAGGCAGTGGAGATGTCCTGTTTAAGGGCAATGTGTGGTGTAAATATTATGCAGAAAATTCAGAGTGTGGAAATTAGGAGAAGGTGTGGAGTTAATAAAAGTATTAGTCAGAGGGCTGAAGAGGGGTTGTTGAGGTGGTTTGGTCATTTAGAGAGAATGGATCAAAGTAGGATGACATGGAGAGCATTTAAATCTGTAGGAGAAGGAAGGCGGAGTAGGGGTCGTCCTCGAAAAGGTTGGAAGGAAGGGGTAAGGGAGGTTTTGTGGGCGAGGGTCTTGGACTTCCAGCAGGCGTGCATGAGCGTGTTCGATAGGAGTGAATGGAGACGAATGGTATTTGGGACCTGACGATCTGTTGGAGTGTGAGCAGGGTAATATTTAGTGAAGGGATTCAGGGAAACCGGTTATTTATAGCTGGACTTGAGTCCTGGAAATGGGAAGTACAATCCTGCACTCTAAAGGAGGGGTTTTGGGATATTAGCAGTTTGGAGGGATATGTTGTGTATCTTTATACATATATGCTTCTAAACTGTTGTGTTCTGAACACCTCTGCAAAAACAGTGATAATGTGTGAGTGAGGTGAAAGTGTTGAATGATGAAAGTATTTTCTTTTTGGGTCACCCTGCCTTGGTGGGAGACGGCTGACTTGTTGACCAAAAAAAAAAAAAAATGTCACCGTCCAGTACCTGTCCGAATAGCCATTCCAATATTCAGTCATGAATGGGTTGACATTATTTATACTGTAGTTTAATAGCAAATAATGAACAAACAAAACACTCACCACACTGAGTGGTGAGAGGGCTGGCTGCCAGTTGTGGGGGTCGGAGGGAGGGTAGTAGGGACTTGCGGGTGGCAGGAAACATAAATATGATCTGGCGGCTGGGAATTTGCGAATGTGTGAAGCCCGCGAAAGTTGAAAATGCGAATGATGAGGGAGACCTGTATATGCATTTATAAGTGGAAAAATGGACGTTCCACTTCATGGCAATTTCTGCTTTACAGAGGTTGCCTGGAACCTAACCTGCTGTATAAGTGGGCCCTACTGTATACTGTATGGATGTGTTTGTAGATGCAGAACTCTTAAAAAAATGACAGTAAAATGCATCAAGTAGATTAGGATAATTTTAAATGGACCAATAGATGGTTATTATATATCTCAGAATGGTTGGCAAGAGTGGTGATTATATAATTTCTTGCCCAAATAATTTCAGTTTTACTAGCTTGATTTAAATGTCACCAACTTATAATGGCAGGTCATCACAGATGCCTTTTCTCTCTTAATTCCCTCATTTAGTGTGCTCCTGAACTTTTTTTTTATTTGATATTTCCTCATGTATCTCTTATAACTTCCAGGGGTGCAGTTAGAGTGACAATGGATCTCACGAAATTAGATATCGTTCAGTGTCCAAGTGATTTCTACGTCCAGAATGCTTTCAAGGATAGTCATCGATGCGACAGGAAGTCGTCTTATGTAAGTACTATGTCATCTGTATTGATTCAGTTGATTGATTTTTTTCCCCTCTAATCTTAAAACTAATTCCCTCTTATATACATCTATCAGACATTCACAGAAGTCTCCTTCACCAGAGGACAGTGGTGTTGAACATGACATACGTACACTAAGGTACATATTTGAATGTTCTCAAGTTTAATCTTTTGATATTTTAATTATGGAATTGTGCATGGGTGGGAGCTGTGCCAGCTCTGCTTGCGAAAGGTTTAAAAAAAAAGCTTAAATATTTTTCTACAGAATTGTAGAAGAGTAAAAAAAAAACTTTACAGAAAAAAATATTTGTATAATTCAGCTTTGGAAAATGAACTGATTGAAATGGTAGAAAAGGTAGAATAAGTGTAATAGATGGTGAACCTTCAAAAGTGAAAATTGGAAATAGATACATAAGAGTAATCATGACTGTATGACGAAGAAAACCTTTCCTTTACCTTTGATGAGTTCCGATAGTTTTTCTACTCTGAGCCTGGTCATGGGCCAGGCTCGTCTGTTGCTTGCCTGATCAATCAGGCTGTTGTTGCTGGTGGTCCGCTGGCCCCATAATATAGCTGACCATGGCAGTCCTCCATATTCACTCCTTAGCAGCTCGTGAGAATTCTTGAAATTCACTGTCAACCTTCTAAGACAGTGATCTTTCCAGTCACAATGATGAATCTCATGGATGCTTCACACATGTTGATCTCTGTCTGTAAGAATATTATGAATATATAGATCCTGGCTGCACTTTTAAAATTTTGATTTGCAATCTAATTGAGTAACTTTTATTTTCCATAGTTACTAAAGTACTAAATACAATGGAGCCTCTACTTGTGAGCATATCCACGTGCGAGTTTTTCCAAATACGAGCAGTCGATCGGTTGATTTTTTGCTTCCATACGCAAGCGAAATTTCCATAAGCGAGCGGGCCTCAAGGGAGGTTCCTTGATGCTGGTGAGGGGCTCTTGCTCTTGATCTAGGGAATTGGATCTCATTTGTTTGTTAGACTATCATATTGAAACTTGGGCAATGTATGATGGAAAGATGCTTCTTAATGTACACCAAAAATTAAAGAAATCTTACCATAAATAATGGAGTTCACTTCTCAGCAATTAGCCACCCCATAGAGGTATTTTCATATTGTTTTTATGGTTGTATTCTCGTTTTTTTTGTCTCATTTGATAGACTGGAAGATATATTACAGAAATAGATATGATTTTGATTGGTTTCATGATGAAAAGTACTACCTTGAAATTGAGCTCAATGTAGCAGAAATGTTCGATTCTTTGGTGATGTTCAAGAGTAAACAGTACGTATGCAGTTGTGCATGGGTTACATAATTTATACAATTATTACAATAATGCAGTAGCCTGCATAGCAGTGAATCTTCTATTTTTTGTGCGAATAAAAATTACAAATTATTTATATTGTAATAATAATAATACATATAATAATAATAGTATAATATAATATAATAATACATGTTTAATAATAATACTTGTATAATAATAATAATGTACTATATAATAATTATAATAATAGACAACTTACACCAATACATAAAGGTGGTGACCCTACAGACGTAAACAACTATAGGCCAATATCAAACTTACCATTGCTACCCAAAATCTTCGAGAAACTCGTGCACAGGAGACTATATTCATTTATAACGTCACAAAACATACTCGACCCCTGCCAATTTGGATTCAGGAAAAATAAAAGCACTAATGATGCAATTATAAAAATGTTAGACCTGCTTTACAAAGCATTGGAAAATAAGGAATATCCGCTTGGAATTTTTATTGACCTAAGAAAAGCGTTTGACACAGTAGACGACGGCATCCTACTCCACAAACTTGACCACTATGGTATAAGAGGCCATGTGCTTGCATATTTTAAATCCTACCTTTCTAATAGGTATCAGTATGTCACCATTAAAGACACAGCCTCATCAATACGGCCACTTGATATTGGAATTCTGCAGGGAAGTGTCCTTGGACCCCTGCTCTTCCTCATTTACATCAGTGATCTTCCAAACATATCCCAACACCTGAAACCCATTCTCTTTGCTGACGACACAACTTATGTCATCTCCCACCCTAATCTTGCCACCCTCAACACCATTGTTAACAAGGAGCTGCTCAAAATATCGACTTGGATGACAGCCAATAAACTTACACTTAACACTGGCAAAACCTACTAATTATGTTTGGTAGCAGAGCAGGTGTTGCGCAACTTAACATTAAGATCGACAACACTCTAATTGCCAGACATAATGAGGGCAAATTCCTTGGCCTATACCTCGACAACAACCTAAATTTCAGTACCCATATCCAACACATAACAAAAAAAGTATCCAAAACGGTGGGGATCCTCTCCAAGATACGATACTACGTACCACAAACTGCCCTTCTCACACTATACCATTCACTTATATATCCATACCTTGCCTATGCTATCTGTGCTTGGGGTTCAACTGCAGCAACACACCTAAAGCCAATAATAACCCAACAAAAAGCTGCAGTAAGAATAACCACTAAATGCCATCCCTGGCAACACACCCCCCACTCTTCATAGATCGAAACTTACTCCCTGTTCAGTACATCCACACTTACTACTGTGCAATCTATATCTACAGGACCTTAAATTCCAATATTAACCTTGACCTAAAATGCTTTCTTGATAGTTGTGACAGGATCCACAGGCGTAACACCAGACACAAATATCTCTATGACATTCCCTGTGTTCGACTAAACCTTTACAAAAATTCAATGTATTTCAAAGGACCTAAAATCTGGAACACCCTACCTGAAAACTCTAGAACTGCAGACACATTCATCACTTTCAAACTACAGTTAGAAAACATCTTATCTCCCTGATCCACCCCGACAACTAACTACATGATAACCACCTGGTGGTTCACAATTACACTCACTCACCCACTGACTATAAACCCAGAAATACTAATCTTAATCTTAAAATAATAAATCCTAACTAGTCATAAGTTTGCCTATGATACTCCAATATAGACACCTTGTATTGTGCCAAAACAAAAGCATTCACATTGCTAAACTCACAAATTATGATGTAGTCACTTAGCCTTAATACTATAATCTGTAAGGATTTAATGTTAAGAATTAATCTAAATCTGCTCGAAATGCCTAGCCATGCTAGGTGTCCTAGTGGCCCCCTCTGTAATTAGTAGTTTATAACATGTAAACCACAAAATACCCAAAACCTGTAAACCCCACATTGTAACCATTATAGAGAATAAACTTGAATTGAATTGAAAAAAAAAAAAAAACTTCAAAAGGCCATCACTAGATTGCAGTGTTTACCACAACAAAGTTGGAGCAGTTGTGGCCAACACCAACTGTTACATGATATATTTTATTCATTCTAGAGTATATATCAGGTTTCAATGTTATTTATATTGTTTATGTCATATTAGATGAATTGTGATAGGTAAATAAGCCATATAGATAATCTTTCTTCTTTCAACACACCGGCCGTATCCCACCGAGGCGGGGTGGCCCAAAAGGAAAAACGAAAGTTTCTCCTTTTACATTTAGTAATATATACAGGAGAAGAGGTTACTAGCCCCTTGCTCCCGGCATTTTAGTTGCCTCTTACAACACGCATGGCTTACGGAGGAAGAATTCTGTTCCACTTCCCCATGGAGATAAGAGGAAATAAACAAGAATAAGAACTAGAAAGAAAATAGAAGAAAACCCAGAGGGGTGTGTATATATGTGCTTGTACATGTATGTGTAGTGTGACCTAAGTGTAAGTAGAAGTAGCAAGACGTACCTGAAATCTTGCATGTTCATGAGACAGAAAAAAGGACACCAGCAATCCTACCATCATGTAAAACAATTACAGGCTTTCGTTTTACACTCACTTGGCAGGACGGTAGTACCTCCCAGGGCGGTTGCTGTCTACCAACCTACTACCTATAATATAGATAATATTAGCAAAATTATTCAAGGAGTATTTTTGTCCAGTCTCCAGACAAACTCTCGTCTGCTGCCGACGATACCACTACATGACTAACATATTCATCCTAGAGTATATATCAGGTTTCTATGTTATTTATATTGTTTATTATGCCATATTAGATGAATTGTGATAGATAAATGAGCCGTATAGATATTTGCGAAATACTGAAGTATCTTGCCATGCCTTCTGAGAGCTGGGAACAGATTAATTGCATTTCATTTAATTTAAATGAGGAAAATTAACTCTGCAAATGAGCAAATCCAGATGTGAGCAAGGTCATGGAATGTATTAAACTCTTGAGTGGAGGTTCCACTGTAATAGTGTTCATTTTTCTTTATATAACAGTGGTCATCTCCCACTGAGGCAGGGTGATCCGAAAAAGAAATGAAAGTACTTCATTTTACAGTTAGTAATTTATACAGGAGAAGGGGTTAGTAGCCCCTTGCTCCTGGCATTTTAGTCACCTCTTATGACATGCATGGCTTACAGAGGAAGGATTCTTCTCCACTTCTACCATGGAGTTGATTTTTATATCTTGAACCAATATCAAAATTATAGTAACAAAAATATACTGCCTACCAATCTCAGGCAGACTCTAGGGTTTGCACAGTCTGACTTTGCATCTGCTGAAAATGTAAATAATCTTGCAACCTTCGTGTTGTTCATCAGAGTTGATAACTTCATAGCATCAGTAATCTTGTTTTACATGGTTTTGTAGTGATAAGTACAGTTTTTGGTAGTCTTGAGGTAGCTCTGATGGATACAGTCACCAACTTCTAGATAAAACTACTGAAGCCTGAAAGCTGTCTCTAGTAAAGCAACATTCTGCCAACCACAAAACGAAACATGAAATATTTGATTGCAGCACTTTTGATTTAACTTGGTTATTGAGGACAGAATCAATTAGTTGATGGCTGTAACTTTTTCCTCTCGACCAAGTCAAGAAATCTTGTGATTTATATCCTGTATCCAAGGATGCAGAACAT